TCCACAACGTTTTCTAAACAAATATGCAAGTTATGAGAATCTGCAATACATCCCCGGACTTCATGGAAAAAGCTTTGCCATCATTCCTCGACGGACAGGCACAACGTTGGTTTAGACAACTGCCGGAAGGAAGCATCGACAGCTTTGAGGACCTCACAGTGAAGCTAGCTACCAGGTTCTTCCTTAGCAAGCAAGTTACAAAGATGTTGATTGACCTATCATCAATCACACAAGGACATAATGAGAGCCTGTCAGACTTTCACCGCCGCTTTACCCGTGAATCTCTCTAGGTTGATAACCTCGTTGATAGAGACATACGGAATGGGTTCATTCAAGGTCTTAACCCTTGGGGAAAATCCGCTCACCTGTGAGTAAAGTTAACCACTAAACCTCCTCGAAATACACAGGAGATGTGGGCTACAGTGGAAAGTTATATCCAACGGGAACAAACATCACTTGCAGGGGAACGAGGAGGGAAGGATAGGTATAAACCTCTAGTAGAGGGTAGGCCATCCCTGCCTAAGCTCGACAGACTCCTCACCCCGTTGGTGAAACCCCGCCGAGAAATACTCCAAATCCACAAAGACGAGTTCACGGCCCCGAAGCCGTTGGTTCATAATCTGAATAGGTCCACAGGTCGGTATTGCGAGTACCACAAGGACCATGGGCATGATACAGAAGATTTTCGGGAACTCAAGCGGGAAATTGAAGCAGGAGTGAAGTCTGGGAAATTCCAACAGTCTGTGCAGAATACGCAAGGTAACGCTTGAGGAGACACTCGCGGTCCTCGAGAAAAATCTGCTTTCCCACGTAACTTCCTTAAGCGAAACAACAATCGTGGTTCTCACAGGGATAACCGAGGGAATAATTGGTAGTCAAGGGACAACTCACAACAACCTATCCAGCAAATTCTCGATAACAGACCACAGCCAATCCAGCAGGTTCCTCCTCCAGATCCCGCTAAGCAGATTACACACAATGTCGGAGCAATTTATGGGGTACCCCTCGAGGTTATGTCAACCACAGCAATGAAAGATTCAGTTCGACAAGTTACAAAAACTCTGCCACAAGAACCAAGTCACAAGTAGTTTAAAGGAACGGAGGCAATAGTCTTCACCGACAGGGACGTCGTTCCTGGAGTCTGCCCCTATAGCGATGCCATGGTCATCGAAGCCATCATAGGAAACGTGGGGGTAAGCTGCGTATATGTCGACAATGGCAGCACGGTCGACATCATCTACAGTGACTGTTTCAAGAGAATGAACATAAAAAATCCGAACTGGTGTCCGGCTACCTTACCATTGATGGGCTTCTCTGGGTACACGATAATCCCAAGTGGAATGGTAAAGCTTCCAATCACGGTAGGGACGTATCCTCGAACGGTAAATCTAACAATAGATTTCGCCATAATCGATGCTCCCTCGCCGTTTAACGTGATTCTAGGACGACCGTGGATGTGCCAAGCCCACGCTGTCTGGTCACCCTACCATTTGGTTATGAAATTTCCAACGGAGTATGGAATAAGAATAGTACAATTGTGCCAACGCAGTTCCCGAGAATGTCTCCTCACAGCAGTAAGAATCGGGAAGAAAACAGTAACGCCGGAACTAGCTGTCACCACATCAGGATGTTACTTGGTCTAGCAAGGAGTATCATCGGCTGAGTATAAAGAGGGAAAGCAAAATACCCAGGACATGGATCTCGATCAATCTCAGGACCCCCCACTCAGTAGCAAGACAGAAGAGTTGATCCTAGATGAAAGAGAGCCAGAAAAAACCATCAAACTTGGTATATCTATCGAAGGAACGCTCTGGGCCGAGGTAATTGCCTTGCTATGCGACTTCCGAGACATTTTTGCGTGGTCACCATCTGATATGACTAGAGTTCCTCGACATATTCTCAAGCACAAGTTAAATGTAGATCCTAACGTCAAGCCAGTTAAACAGAAGAAGAGGGTTTTTGCTAGAGATCGCAACAATTTATTTAATGAGGAAACCCTCAAACTGGTTCGAGCTAATATCCTCAAAGAAGTGCTTTGGCCCACATGGCTGGCTAATCCAGTTCTTGTTCGCAAACCTGATAATTCCTGGCGCATGTGTCAAGACTACACGGATCTAAATAAATATTGCCCCAAGGATTGCTACCCTTTGCCTGTAATCGATCAAATGGTGGAAGGCATTACCGGTTACAAAACCCTTAGCTTTCTCGACCCATATAAAGGATACCATCAGATTCATATGGCTCGGGAAGACACAGAAAAACGGCCTACATCACGGAGATTGGAGTGTACTGCTACAACAAAATGCCATTTGGACTGAAAAATGCTGGAGCCACCTACCAGCATTTGGTTAATAGAGCTTTCCAAAATCAGATCGGAAGGAACATTCAGATCTACGTGGATGACATGGTCATCAAGAGCAACATGGACAGTAGGGTGGTCGAGGTCAAGGAATTAACATGAAACTCAACCCGAAGAAGTGTGCCTTATGTGTGGGCTCTGGGAAATTCCAAGTATCAAAAGATGGAATAAGCGTAGATCCTCCAAAGGTTGAGGCAATTCTTTCAATGGAAGACCCGAAGACCGTCAAGGAAGTATAGAAACTTACACGATCTTTGGCAGCGCTTAATAGGTTTCTGTCTCGAGTAGCTGAAAGAAGCCTTCCCTTCTTCAAGATCCTAAGAAAAGGGAGAGGTTTCTAATGGACTGAAGAATGTCAAAAAGCCTTTCAAGAGTTAAAGGAACATCTTAAGCCACTCCCCATGCTGGCAAAACCATAGCCAAGAGAAGTTCTATATATTTATTTAGCCGCTCGTGAAACGGCTATATTTATTTAGCCGCTCGAGAATATGGCTCTCAAGTTAGGAGTTTGAAACTTGCAAGTTTTTAGCAACTCTCAGGTGGTTATCAAGCAAATCAAAGGTGATTACACGGTCCGCGAGGAACACCTCCGACCATATCTCGAGAAGGTTCTTGAGATCAAGGACAAGTTTGAGGAATGCTCTATTTCCCACAACCTTAGAACCAGCAATAAAAGAGCCGACGCACTGAGTAAGCTTGCTTCGTCTAATTTTGCTAATCTCAGTCACAAGGTTTGGGTTGAGATACTCCCCAAACCCAGCATTCAGCCAGAGTTTCCCTGGCTATCACCGAGGATAAAGATACATGGATGACGCCATTCATCCAATTCTTCGAAAATGGAACGCTTCCCGATAACAAGTACGAAGCTCGAGCGTTGAAGCTGAAAGCAGTTAAGTACACTCTGAGAGATGGAATCCTCTACAAGCACGTGTATTTGTTGCCGATGTTACGATGTGTTGGACCAAAGCAAGCAGCGTATGTTCTCAAGGAAGTCCACGAGGGATCGTGCGAAGCCCACATGGGAGCAAGAAGCTTGGCCAAAAAGGTCCTTCGCGCAGGATACTTCTGGCCCACAGTTTTTAAGGATGCTTCTCAGTTCCTGCAAAAGTGTGACAGATGTAAGAGGTTTTCACCGATAATCCGACAGCCACAGCATGAGATGGTAACCATACAAAGTCCTTGGCCATTCTACCAATGGGGCACCGACATCATTGACCCTTTTCCAAAAGGGGCGGGAGGGCTGCAATGGGTTATCGTAGCCGTCGATTATTTCACCAAGTGGGTGGAAACAAAACCATTGGCCTCGATATCAGGAAGGAAAGTGTTGAATTTTTTCTGGCAAAACGTAGTTTGCCGTTACGGAGTGCCTAAGATAATTGTATCAGACAATGGGACCCAGTTCAAGAGTGATCCCTTCAAGTCATGGTGTGCGGAGATATAGATCGAGCGTCGATTCTCTGCCGCTGGCCATCCGCAAGCAAATGGTCAGGCTGAATCAATCAACATAACCGTTCTACATGGAATCAAGACTGCACAACGCCAAAGGGGAATGGGTCGAAGACCTTTCTCACGTTTTATGGGCATACCGCACCATGGCTTACTCCTCGATAGACGAAACCCCGTACAGTTTAGTCTATGGAATGGATGATGTCCTCGTGGTCGAAATTGGCCTTGCAAGTCCTCGAACGATCAATTTCGTCGAAGACACCAACAGTGAAGATATCCTAACTAACCTTGACCTGCTCGAGGAAAGGCGAGATGCTGTAAAAGTACGGGAAGCCAAGTACAAAGAAATCCTCAGGAAAAATTATAATAAACGAGTCAAGAGCACTGACTTTGTGATCGGGGACTTGGTACTTCGAAAAAATGAAGCCAGTCGAGCAGAAACCCCTGGAAAATTGGCGGCCAGATGGGAAGGACCGTATCGATCATTCAGGTCTCTCCATCGAGCAGTTATCAATTACAGATGACAGATGACACAGGAGTGTCAGCCCGTTCATAATCCAATGGTGCTCGATATTCTAGACCCGGGCTAGATTGTCGGGAATCATTCTCCCCCGATGGTAGAACATTCAGAATCTACGCAGGTTCTTGTTTAGATTTCCTACTTGCTATTTGCTACTTTATTTGCTGAGTGATTTGTCGCTTTAATTTATTTATATGTAATGCTAGCCCGGGTCCTCGGATAATTATTAATAAAAGCCGTTACATACTTCTTCTATACATTACATGTGTCGACACTATGTCATGACTAGTCACCAAGATGGACACCCTCTTTAGGGCCATTCTCGAATTGAGCCGTGTATTCAACATGCGGACATATAAGCCGAGGATCTCTCCTCGCACTTACCGTGGATCGTGGTGTTGCTAAATCGGGGAATCCGTATCCGATTCCTCGATAGTGCCATGTACTTTACATTCGGCCAAACAAGCGCTATACAAACATACTCGAGTACAAACAAATAACCGACGCTGATACAGCTCGGTGCAAATTTAATGCCCTCACATTTAGTGAGGGGTTCAGAAAATGTATCAATATACACTTGATATATACCTAAATCTTGAGATCTGTCCCCTTAGGGTTCAATCGGGAAGGCTCAATAATGCCAGAACATCCCATCACCCTAAGCCTATGGAGACACTAACTTAGTTTATCTTTTAAATCTAGAATCTCCCAATCTTGGTCATTGATTCTGAGAAGATACTCCTCAGCAGCTGCCGTTTCCTTCACTTCATCATCTAGATCAAGGTCCTCGAGAATGGGTAGTGAAATCTCGTGGTCCACCAGTATGTTCTGTAGAATGGCAGCCTGCTTCGAGTAGAATTCTGCCTCCTTGGTCCTCTTCTTTAGGAGGTCAATTGCAGCAATAAAGTGTTCTGTACAAACCTCTATCTGTGCCTCGACAAGAGCAAGCGTGTCATATTTTTTGAGGAATCATGGGGACACAAAAATATTTTCGCGCTTCCTCAGCCGAGCATTTTCTTTTTTCAGCTTCTCCATCTCCTCATTAATATTGACTTGTAGAGACAAGGAGTCATGAAAGTCCAAGTCATATTGTTGGAGTCGGCGCTTCCATTCTTTCTCTTGTTACCTAAACCGCCGCACCAAGCGGGAGTGCGCTGGTAGGTTAAGTGCATTGACAGCATTGGTAAGCTCTTTCTCGAGGGCTCTCACTATGTCATTGTTGTGAACATCCCCAAATTTTCTCAACATTGAAGGGATCATTGTATACATGGGAAACCTCGCCATCTCATCGTCCTTGAGAATCAATAGACATACTAAATGAATCCTGACATAGTGGGCAGAAGCATAACAAATGTTAGAGGAAAGCGGCACTGATCTAATTCATAGTTAGCAAAAGTTGTTCAAAAATCACTACAACAGGCTAAGGTCTACAACCTTAGCGACAGAAATCCTATTACAAGAAGAAAATTTCATACTTTATTTTGGCCAGGAGGGTGACTGGGCCGACTTTCGTTTGTCCCCTCGATAGGGGTATGAGTCAACGTCCCTTCTTCTGCAAGCCCTTGGTCATCCTTCCCCTCCACCTCGACCTGCTCTGAGGAATCCTCTTCCCATTCCACCTGTACATCGATGAAATATGGGGCTAGCTCCGGCACACTTACCTCCTCTCCAGCATCAACAGGAAGCATGGTAAGGGCATCTCCTTCGAAAGAAGCGGTCTCTGTTGATGAACCCAGCTAAGCTATAGCATTACATAATGGCCCAAACAATGGAAGTCGACCATCAGAAAGCTACTGCAGTCCATTCTTTATGGCCTCATGGAGAGTCTTCTTAGGATGTGGCTTTATGAAGTGATAAAGCCATCCAGTGTTTATAGTCCTTCCGCTCTCCATCCTCTCGAGACCGGCCACAGCTACACCATGACTGCCTAATGCTTTGGCATCGTTACTGATGCCCACCAGGATGCTGGCCAATCCTTCAGTTGGTACCATTCTTGACCAAAAAGCAGTCATCCATTCGTGCAGATCTGATTTGGGAACGTAGGACTCTCTATATTCAGTCAGCTTGGTCTCAGCCTCCCTGTACATGGCCTGAACCATGGGTAACTCCTCTTCCCTGGCAAGCCTCAGGGCCTGCTCCTCCTTTCTCGACTCCTCATGTGTTAGCTTCTCATGCTCGAGGAGCCCCTTTTCAAGTTGCAAGCTGGCAATCTCTTGTTTTAATTTCTTCTCTCGCATAAGAATGCTGGCCATCGAGGTAGTCAACTATAAAGAATACATAATAGATCTCAGCCAAAGTATCGCAGGAACTCAAGAGTAAATGATTTTACAGATTGACAGGTCTTACCATTTTCATCGATTCTTCTTCCGTCAAATCGCTGCAACTTCCTCAATGATGGGACACTCGATCCTAGTGTCCCCAAAATGATATATGGCAGTGGCAGCAGTGTATGTTGATGACCCATCGGTGTCTTCGACAGTGTTCTTCTCTAACGAGGCCTCGAGCAGTTTAAACCACTTCGGATGGCGCTCTGTCACGGGGATGGCCTCAGAAGTTGGGTTCCCATCTTTTTCCTTACCAGTAGAAGGGGTAGTTTTTGAGGGATCGGCTGCGTCGTCAATTCTCCCCTCCTTCTTGACCGGGACTTCTTACTTAGTTGGCTTTTCTGTCTCCTCGACGGTGGGCGGCTTCTTCTTCTTGGACTTTGCACCTGCGTCAGACACCTTTACAAGTCTTCTTAGCTTCCTCTTCTTGGTAACTTTGTTCGACAACCCCTCATCATCTGAATGTTTAATTTCAAAAATCTGGGCAAAAACCAAACAAGCCAACGGTATCTTTGTTCGATGACATGACCTAAAACAAAGAAAATGCACATGACAAGTTAGTACCTTTTTTCTCCTCGACGCGGACAGGGAGAATGTATTGTTGGACTTTGGTATAGCTGAGGATGGTCTCGAAAGATTCCAGAGACTTAATATCGGCTCTGTACTTCTCAACTTTTTGTTTGTCAGCACTGGTCCAAGTATCTGCTATAACACCTAGTTCGTGGGATTCACGGTAATCCACACCATGCAAAAAACTTTTCGTTCTTCCACAAATAAGTAGTTTGGCTTTCATATCAGGGCACCATCGAAGAGTTCTTCTATGTGATCTGCTTTTGACTTTATGTTGGTTATTACATTATACCACTCTTTGTACTTAGTCGAGGGAACGCAGACTTTAAAGAAATACCTCCACACTATTAATTGAGGCGTGATGTTCTGCAATTCATAGAGGCTCACAAAACCGAGGACCGCTGTGACTAAGTTTCAGGTGAATCGAGCAAGTGGAATCTTATAGTGCTGTACTATTTTGCCAAACAGAGGGTAAAGGGGGAATCTTAACCCTAGAAACATGAATCTAGCACACACAGTAATTTTCCCCTCTGGTGGAGTGTCAGCCCGTTCATAATCCAATGGTGCTTAATATTCTAGATCTACGGGGAAGTAATATTGCTTGGCGACTTCTTTAGCCTTTGCTTCAGAACTTATGGTTGATGCGAACCCAGATACTGTCTGAGCAGCCATATCTACCCCAATATATATGTAAATCTAATAAGATTCAGACAAAGCAAAAGGCGTATGTGGATATTAAAAATACAAGAGGATTGGAAGACTTACTTCTTTCGGAGTTTAACGTACGGCGCTTGGATACTATTTTCCTGGTGGTAGGTGCTGCAAGCGTTTCTGGTGAGGATGAAGAATTTCTGTCCTTGATAGTAGAGTTCAATGCACCGGGGCAGAAGGGTTGTATGTAGTTTTTGGTCGTAAGTTTGAAAAAAAAGATGAATGGCCATAGTCTCCAGTCCTTCCCCAATATAAAAAAAAATTTCCTTTCTCTCTCCCACGACTTGACGTTTCGGGCGAAGTTGAAGGAGTAATTGTGATTGCTTGGCCGTCATTTGGGAATCGTGCACACTGATGGGGCACGCCTGCCAGGACTTGGGCGGGATTTTAAAGTGGGTTGTGTTTCCGGGTCGGGTTTGACCCGCTACTTAGGCCAACAAGCCTGCTTCGCACTTTGGTCTGATTGGCTATACAATCAATTTGGGCCGAGTCCCGGTTAGATTTATATTTTGTCAAGTCTTATTTATTTTATATAACTAATACTTGACAGGGGCAGTTGACGAGTCCATATTCATCCCCGGTATTGGACCGGCCCAAGAACCGTGTAAGGGGCCTGACCGACTCCAATAGGACGGTAATGTGACTAAACCCTAGTAGGATTTGGTTCTCTGATTGTATCTATTTACCTATAAATAGGGATGCAAGTTCCACAATTAAGGTACGCTCTCCTAGTTACCAATCAATACACGCACGCAATTCCGATTTATTGACTTAAACATCGGAGCGTCTATCCTCGGGAGACGCCCAAGGTTCTTTCTTGCAGGAAACCCTAGTCAAAGTTCCGCAACCGAGCCCAGGATACAAATCCAGGCATCATTTTAACCCTAACATATAGATGATGGTTTGGCTTACAGTTTGTGTTTTAACTCTTACAAATTCAGGGGAAACTGTCTCATAATGGCTTATGTATACATAAACTGTCAATTAACCAACATGTTCTCGGGCAAAAGTTAAAAGTAGATCATATACATTCTTCTGAATGGGGGAAAAGATCGATGGAACTACGAGTTACATATTGGCAGTGTTTCCAATCTATGTTAGACGGTGCAAATAGGTCTTCAACTCTTCGATTTAATAGAATAATTATATAGTGAAGTCATGGTTTGTCATAGATGACCCGAAGAATAATTACTCCTATATTAAAATCGAAATCCGAAGTCTACGTACTCTTTGAAATGTTGAAAGTGAAACCTTCACCTGCACCCCACAAGGAATTTACAAACTATGATGTAAAGTCATTCTTTATTACAATGAATTAGCCGTTAATATTCTAGTGTTTGCGATTAATATTTGTTGTACAACTTGATTCAAGAATACGTACTCAAGGTTGACGTCTTCTTACATTGGTATAATTTTGATTTGGTGTTCTGCTGCACTCAACCAACCTAGCTAAAAAAAGACTCAAAAAGTCTGCTCGGATGTCTAAACTATTTCAAACCTAATCAATAACACACACAAAAAAATAAATAAATAAATACAAAAGTCAGAAATGATGTTCATACTCCAGGGCTTAAGATAAGTATGGAAACAATGACCTCACTGTATAATAATTGAAAAGTCATGAATTGTCATTGTATTTGTGAGTATTTGTGTCAAATTTTGGCATAAATTGTGCACTTATATTATGTATTTTGATCTTTTTTACTCTTAGGAGTGTTCGGAGATTAATTGGAATAAAAGGATACACAAACATATATTTTTAGAATGGACACATGACGTCACATTCTTGCGTGGGCACACAATTCTCAATAGGGGTGTTTATGGACCTGATTGATCTGGATTACTATTAATTCGTAACTAAATCGTTATTTATGGTTTTTAAATTTTTCAAACTGTAACCGGACCGGATTTGATGTTTAAATCAGACCAATCCAAACGGTTTGGTTTGGGCGGTTTAGCGATTTGGAGTTCTAATTGGGTTTTTCCTTTTCAGGCCATAAATTGAACATTTTCTGTTATTGAATTTTTTTTCGGTCTCTTTTTTGAGCTTTCTTTGGGCTTTTCCTGAGTTTTTTTTTTTGCCTTTTTAAAATGATATCTAATAATTGGAGAAAAAAAATTAAGCTTTCTTTGGGCTTTTCTTGAGTTTTTTTTTTTTTTGGGTCTTTTTAAAATGATATCTAGCAATGGGAGAAAAACAATTAATTGAATGGGGAGGGACTCAAATACAAGACCTCCAGTAAATGTAAGAGTAAGATGAACAACATTGCCAATGAGAGAACTTAACATTTGCGATATAAATCATCATACGCCAGTATATATATGAAAACCATTATATTATTATTTATTAATATATATACGGTCCGGTCAAGTTTGACAGACGGTTTGAAAGTGCCAAACCGTAATCCGGACCAATACGAATGGTTTTCAATTTTCAAATCTACCGGATAAAAATCCAATTAAAAACCGCCCGCTAATCCGAACTGATGACCGCTTTGGGCGGTTCCACCGGTTTAAACCAAACCATGAAAGCCCCTAATTCTCAGCCCAAACTTGAGTATTGGAGATGAAATATTAGCATTGATGCTACATTCCCATTTGGCCAAACGAATATAGGGATTAAATTGCAAAGCTAAAAAACTTTTGGGGCTAAATTATAATTAATCAAACTTTGGGGACCCAATTGTAAACTTTCGGGAACCTTTTCTTCTCTCTAGCAGATGACCTATTTTTCCCTGTATAAAAATATTAAAAGACCAGATCTGAGCAGAAGCGTGGCGGGTTATGGTAATTGAACAAAGCGGATAAGGCACGAGCAAACATAAAATCCCAGATCTTAGAAATAAGTGTAAGGGGAATGGTAATGGTATGAATGGGATAGGGTTCCGTTGCATAATGGAGTCGTGTTTTTTTATTTTAGGAGAAGATATGCAACTTGGGATAAAAAGGAAAATGAACCGTGGTTCAGGATGGAAATAAAAATGTGGCAAGTGTGATTTCAGAAGATATTTTAATTTCAAAAGTGTCCAAACAATAATTGAGCCTCGTTTTCTGGACATGAGTTACAAACTGAAATAATTTTGCATTCAAACTGTTGTCCAAATAAACCCTTAGTTTTAGACTCCCATAATTATTGTCCACTTTGCCTAAAAAATTTTGTCCCAAAATTATTGTCCAATTTGACTTTTTATAGATCAAGTTACACATTTGTGCTTAGTAAAAAACATTATCCATAAAATCTTAGTGGTTTAACAATTACTTATGTAGGGGTATATCTGGTTGTTTAAGGTAAAAAATAGTTAAATTTGACCAAAAATAAAATCTTTCATTTTAGTAAAACTGGACAATAATTATGGGACAGAGGGAGTATATTATATGGGGGGTTGGACGTGAGAAGAGAAAGAGGAGGTCAGAGGAATCCGAAGAAGCCAATCTAACTCTTTTGGGCGTTTTTCTAGCGCATTTTTCAAGGCTTTAAGATTATGAATTGTAGCTAAATCTTTTATTTCTAGTCAGGGATTTCTTGAAACCTTATCAATCATGTGTGAGACTTGTTTTGACCAAAGCAATTCTTGAATATTTGTCATTGTCAGTTATTATTTACGGAATAATGATACATACAGAGAAAAAATAACAAGGAAAAATGACAAAGAATTGATTATAGCTATTCATTTGTAACACTTAGCATTTAAGGTTTAAGCATTTAAGGTTAGGGCACAATTTAGATGATTTGCAAATCATTTCTTGCAAATTTTTCTCGTAATTTTTCCCTGTATGTATCACTAATCTTATTTATGTGTTGTTTCAATCACTAAATTGCTGGTTAGTGTTCATTGTTTGAATCAACATTTGATAATCAATAACTTCAAGATTTGTGGTGTTTGAAAAAGTAATCACCAACATCTATGTGTTGTCTGTTGAAAACATTGATTTTGGGACAGTGGCAACCTAACATTTTCAACACAGGTTTGTCTTGAAACATTAGAGTCGTCTCTTTCTAGTTTTTAAACGATTGAAAAATTAGTTTTGCGAGGTTTCGGGAACAATGGTTTAATAGGAATCTAGATTCGAGGTTTCACAAACAATGGTTCAATAGGAAGCTAGATTCGAGGTTTCGGTCTTATCCTACAATTAGGGAACGATTTGCATTTTGCAGATTTGCACTTTACATTAACCGACTTGTTTTTTGAAATTTTAATTTCACATTTTTGTGTCAATGATCCGTGCATGAAGAAAGGGCAATAGAATTTCCATGGTTTCTAATTTCTTATCCGTGCATGAGTTTTTTATCCTTGAATTATTTCAAACTATTCCATTTTATCATTAAGTTTTACTTTAAGAATTTAGAATCAACTCAAAATACCCCTTTTGGTTACTTATTTTAAAAAAAAAACAAATCTACTATTTTATGAGCAGACGATCTTGCTTTCCTATACAACTAGCTTGAAAGTAGGTTAATTTATTTGTTGGTCTGACGTCCCACCGAAATGGAGCCGTTGTCGGGGAATGGTA